AACATATCTTTTTATATCGTCTTCACTTGCTTCTCCAGTGTAGTTGACCGAAACGAATACACTAACCTGCATCACACCATTATTATAGACACTGGTCTGTTGCCTGTCACCGTATAGATCAGCATATATATTGACCAGTATGATAAGGGACGGATCAAAACCTGACATTGTATACATCTTGTTTCTTTTACACTGGAAAAGTTTATTTCTCACCAGTCCTATCTACTGGAAATGGTCTCATTACTTTTATACAGTAAGAGGAGGAAAGAGGAAGGAAACATGTTCCTCTGATTCACTTATTGTTCTCAAGAGAGACAAGACAAAAGACCTAATGCACTATGTATAAGTTGTATATATTATGTGTTGTCAAACAGTACAACTACAGCAGAGTACTCTACTGTTCAGCTGGTCAAACAAACTCATGTTTATTGCTCTTACAGTATAGTACCTATGCATGCATGGTGAAAGTAGCCTTGTCACTAGGCCTCTATACAGCCTTTACACATGTACACAATTGAGAGGATATAGTCATGCATGTCACAGAATTGTAACTTAATTTTTCATGTGATTAAAACTGTGAATGGGATGATGAAACTTGTCAAAAGTATACATTACATTGCACTATATGAACAAAAATGTATAAAGGAATGCAGTATCATTCCTACATATTGCAATAGATACATAGATTGTTCAAAAACAAAAAATCAATGACAACCACTGCCATAAACAGATATATTTCCATAAACAAAATGATAAAACATGCAGATGCTGGTTCTGTGAACACATGCAGGAAAAGTAGCCTGATTTAGTATTGGTGCTGTTGCTATTACTGGTATATAGTTGGAGTATTGCTTGCATATAGTATAGTAAATGAATGTATGCCCTCATGAGCTCACAATAGAGCATTGTCTAATAATGATCATGATTCATGAAAGAGGGCTAAGATACTGATGGAACATATTTGATTGATATAGTGCTCTGTGTGTGGTTAGTAAAACTATGATAGTCTTCCCTTTGTGCTTTACATGTACTTCTATTGAGTTTGTAGTATGTACATATACAAGGTACACAAACTACACATGTACTAGTATTATGATAGCCATAAAGATATTTTATTTGAATTAATAACTTTTTAGTGCTAACATAATGTAAATTTTGTCCCAGTTTTTAGTGTGTGTGTAAGTGTTTGTGTGTGTGTGTATTGCTTTTGTGTTTGGTACCATATACAAAAATGCCTCCTCGACTCTTCACAACAATAGGCATTGTCAAACATTGCTCATGACCATACAGCATGACAGTATTGTTTGCATAACATGCACGTACAGTATAGTAAATGAATGCATGCCTCCATGACTGCACACAATAGAGCATTGTCTAATAGTGATCATGACCATACAGCATGCATGAGATTGATAGTATTGTTTCCACAATATACACATACAGTATAGTAAATGAATGCATGCCCTCATGACTGCTCACAATAGAGCATTGTCTAATGATGCTCATGACCATACAGCATGCATGAGCTTGAGAGTATCAATATGTGGCCATGACTGTATATACCAATGCTCATTGTATATAATATGAATTTACATTTTTAGTACACACAATTTTCTGATACACATTAATGTTTTTATGAAATATATTGTGTGGCTTGCTATTATTGTCAATTATTCAAAAATCCAGCTAAGACTCTGGAACTCTCTTCTAAGTAAAATCAAACAATCAACTTCTATCTCTTATCTTAAATTCTATCTAGATTATAAAGTTTGATTTAACTTGTGATTTTTGTGTTATCATTTCATCATGTATCCATTTTATTTCACTTAGCATCAGCTATTTATTCTTTCAAAAAAACAATTATTGTTAAAGTAAGGGTGATGGAGAGACTCAGCTAAACATGCTTGGCAATACTCAATAAAGAAATAGAACATGATAACTTTAAAATCTAGATTGACATTTATGATTTACCCTTGTAAAAAGCACTGGCTTTGAATTAGAAGCAACTCACAGTGATTGTTGATCCTTATTCTCAGTTTTTTACTTATTTATTTTTGAAGGCCCTACAGAGAAATTCAAATGTATCTGTGCAATAAATTTCTACTGTATTAATAGGTTTGCTTCTTAGTTCTTGCTATTGAAAGCCCTCCTGTCCTCTTTCTTCCTAAGTAGCATACTGTATATGTATGCTTTGAGTCAGCATTAAATATCATACCATAATTACTAACTTTAAAATATGTTTCTTTCCCAGACTATCTTTCTTAACATTTTAATTCCTTTAAACTTTTTGGCTAAACCAGAATTGAGTTGACTGAAACATCTAGCAATTACTATAACAGTTCACTTCTGGAGAAGTCTTTTAGATAAATCTATCTCTTACATGATTGCCATGCCCGAATGTCCAATTATTTTAGCACCTTGCTTACATTAATGTAACTGCATGGTGTGACAAATTTATCTTACAAGGTTGTTCACTTTTTATCTAGCTGTCAACATAATTTTGCATATAGACTGATTTTTTTGAAGATTATTGTATAGACTTTGAGGCATACGGTCTAGATTACATGCACTTTCTGTAGTGATCAATCCCACAAATCAAAAGATTAAGGTTTTGGGGCAGGTTAAAACTTCATTCAGTTCATTGCTAATGAACATGTATGCAACAGTCGTACAATCATTTTATTGAAAATTATTTTGCAAGCCAAATTAATTATAGTAAACAAAACAGGCCTAAAGAAAAAATCAAAATTAATATTTATAGTTTGTTATTTCCTCCAATGTATTTCATGGATAGACAACTTTAGCAGAATCAACACTCCAACTTCCCCACCAGTCACCTTTATCCCAATTAAAGCTGACCTCCACCCTGCCACCAAAGGTATCTTGGATTACAAAATGATATAGCCCATAATCGTAATAATAAGCATCACCTCCTACTTCATATTCTTTTATCATTATTTTTTACAGACGATGAATGCACCATCACCATAACTACTCCTTTATTCCAGGCTTCCGTAATATCTTTATTGGTAAAATCCAAGGACTTATCTAAACAATCGCACGTAATCCAGTTTGCAACGCCACTGTCCTCGATATCTTGTTTATCCATTTCATGTGAATAGTGAAAATGTCCAGCTTTGGCTATTTTTATATTACTCTTAACATTGTGATCAACAAAAACGCCCAACTTATGGCCTTTGGTTGACATTGCCATTGAGACCCATGAATTACCACCGGATCCAATGAACTTTATTCCCTTGTAATGGATGCAATTCATCAATTTTTGCGAATCTGGAAATGGCGCATCACCTCTGTACTTCAGTACACGCAATTTATGACAATCAACTTCTGCTCTTTCGACAATCTCTAATTGATCAGCACTTACTTCAAATCCTTTAACAGTAACAGTTAACGGTGTATTGACATTGGTCTGCTTGCCATTCAGCTTAGCGATCCACCTGTGTTCTCCTTCAGCAGTACCACCTGGTATGGTAAAATATAACGGAGCTCTTATGTCCGAAATAATTTTAGGAGGCATTGATGCATTGAATTTTGTGTTAGCAGCACGATCTATATCATGATGAAAACCATTATCCTTTGTAGATTTAGTCCATTTAACATCTTCTTCAAAATTCAGCGAGTATATAACGACATGTTTTTGCACGTATTCTATTATCTCATTTTCACTTGCCTCTCCATTGTAGTTGACCGAAACAAATACACTGACCTGCATTACACCATTATTGTAGACCTTGGTTCCTTGCTCATCCCGAAATTTATCAGCATATATATTGACCAGTATGAGAAGGGCCGGATCAATAGCTGACATTGTAAACATCTTGTCAACACTAGAAAGGTTTATTCCTCACTAGTCTTATCTACTGGAAATGGTCTCGTTACTTTTATACAGTAAGAGGAGGACAGAGGAAGGAAACATGTTCCTCTGATTCACTTATTGTTCTCAAGAGAGACAAGACAAAAGACCTAATGCACTATGTATAAGTTATATTATGTGCTGTCAAACAGTACAACTACAGCAGACTAATATCCTGTTCAGTTGGTCAAACAGACTCATGTTTATTGCACTAGCAATAGTACACATGCATGGTGAAAGTAGCCTTGTCACTAGGCCCATGAAGAGAAGGACAGCCTTTACACATGTACATGTGTAAAGGATCATTGGACGGTAGATAATTTATTTATTTATGACTATACTAATAATTATTATTGTATCTTAACTGTATTTTTTATTTTACTTTCTGGAACATTATATAAAATTTGTAACTTTGATTCATTTGTATTGTGTCCAGAAGTTTCTGGAACCTTATGATTTGTATAAATAGGCTTTGAGTTATTGTGTTTGGTGTCCTCCATTTACTGTATTATTTCTAATATTTCTCATAAAAGTCAAATGGATCTTTGACAACTTAATTGAGAGGATAGTCATGCATGTCCCATAATTGTAGCATGTGATTAAAACTGTGAATGGGATAATGAAACTTGTAAAAAGTATACATATTATATTATATAAACAAAAGTATATAAAGGAATGAGTGTCATTCTTACATATTGTAATTGATACATTATATGTACTTTATCTGGCATATGGCATAGATTACTATTAAATGTGATTACAAATACCAGTGGGGACATAATTGGTAGATGTGGTTCTGTGTAGACTAAACACAAAAAACCAAAAATAAAAATGAAAACCAATGCCATCAACAGATATAGATATCCATAAACAAATGATAAACAATGCAGCTGCTGGATTTTGTGAACACATTCAGTAAAAAGTAACCTGATTTATTAGGTCTATTGTGATACACAGTGATGCTGTTGCTATTGCTGGTATAGCCAGAGTATTGTTTGCATAACATACATGTACAGTAAGTAAATGGATGCATGCCCTCATGACTGCTCACAATAGAGCATTGTCTAATAATGATCATGACTCATGAGGGAGGGCTAAGATGCTGATTGAACATTTTTGGCTGATATGGTGCTTTTGGGGTGTTGAGTAAAAATATGACAGTCTTCCCATTGTGTATTACCTATATTAAGTTTGTATTATGTACATGTACAGTATATGATTATGTGCATCTTTCTTGTTCCCTTTCTCTTTACTTCTTAATTTGGATCCCTCAATTTTCATCTTTGATTTCTCCCTCTCTTATTTTTATTATTTCCTTCCAATTGTATTTCTCCTTCTTTATGTATCTTCAGGCTGTTACAATCTGCAAGGCTCGGATTATTACAGTCATTTTTGTGAATACCATGCAGTTTATTAAGTTGTTCATAAATTGTACATCTGTGAGTTGTCATTGCACCAGCTCATGCAAGTTCAGTGGTCATTGGCAGGTATAAATTAACCTCCTGGGGAGGATATGTTAACTATTACATGTATGATGTACACATAGTTTCTAATTGTAGGTATACTCAGAGAGTTATGTTATCACTGATGTTGAGCACACCATTCTATAGAACTGATCATACACATTAGAAAAAATACAGTCTGGAAGAACCTTAAAAGGTAAGTCATGGAAATATTTTGTTTGAATTAAAACTTTTAGATCGTTTTACTGTTGAGATAATGTAAATTTTTGTTCCAGTTTTGGTGTGTGTGTGTGTGTGTATTGCTTGTCATTAGCCATTGTATAGATGCTGCATTATTTGTTTGCTTTGTGTTTGGTACATACATCAATGCCCTCATGACTGCTCACAATAGAGCATTGTCTAATAATGCTCATGACCATACAGCATGCATGAGATTGATAGCATTGTTTCCATAGCATACACGTACAGTATAGTAAATGAATGCATGCCCTCATGACTGCTCACAATAGAGCATTGTCTAATAATGATCATGATTCATGAAAGAGGACTAAGATACTGATTGAACATGGTTGATTAATATGGTGCTCTGTTTGTGGTTAGTAAAACTATGACAGTCTTTCCTTTGTACATTACATGTACCTCTATTGAGTTTGTATTATGTACATGTACAGTAATGATTATGTCCAATCTTCACTATCTTTCTTGTTCTCTCCCTCTTTATTTTTTTTCCTCGGCCTTCCTTTTTCCATTCTCCCTCTCTCATCTTCTCTTATTTTTTTCTTCTATCTTTCTCCTTCCTTTCCTCTCTTCAGGCTGTCATTATCTGCTATACTACTCCCAAATCATTATTAAGGTTACTTTGAAAATACCAGTACCAGAAGACTCTTAATTTAGTCATCCATAAATTGTAAATAATATTAACAGACTATTAACTATTCTTTTGCACCAGCTCAAGTTGGCAATTGGCAGGTATAGATTAACCTCTCAAAGCTAGAGAGAGGGAAATTGTTAATTGCTATTACATGATGTATGATGTACATGTACATCTTGTTTCTATAATTGTAGGTATACTCAGAGAGTTATGTTGTTCTTGCTAATATTGAGCATCACACATGGGAGAAAATACAGTTGGGAAGAAAACCTTATTAGATACACATGTATATATGTTATGATAACACAATTATTTGTTTTAAAGTAATGTAAGTTTGTCCATGTTTTCAGTGTATGTGTGTGTGCATGCTTGTCATTAGGGTACTGCATTATTTGTTTGATTGTGTTTGGTACATGTACATACAAAATGCCCTCATGACTGCTCCCAATAGAGCATTGTCTAATAATGCTCATGACCATATGGCATGCATGAGATTGATAGTATTGTTTTCATACACGTACAGTATAGTAAATGAATGCATGCCCTCATGACTGCTCACAATAGAGAATTGTCTATGATTCATGGGTGATCAAGGACTAAGATATTGATTGAATATGGTTGGCTGATATGGTACTGTATGTGTGGTTAGTAAAACTATGATACTCTTCTCTTTGTACATTACATGTACCTCTATTGAGTTTGTATTACGTACAAGTACAGTATATGATTGTGTGCATCTTCACTATCTTTCTTATTATCTTTTTTTCTTTATTTCTTAATTCGGATCCCTCAATTTTCCTCTTTCCATCCTCCCTCTCTCACTTTTTATTTCCTTCTTTCTGTCTTTCTCCACTTTTTCCTCTCTTCAGGTTGTTACAATCTGCCACTGGATCTAAGGTCATTTTTGTGAATACCATGCAGTTTATGGAGTTGTTTATTGTAAATCTTTGAGCTGTCATTGCACCAGCTCAAGTTCAGTGGTCATTGGCAGGTATAGAGTAACCTCCTGGGAGCTAGAGAGGGAGGATATGTTAACTATTACATGTATGATGTACATAGAATAGTCTTTAATTGTAGGTATACTCAGAGAGTTATGTTATTGCTGATGTTGAACATCATTCTATAGGACTGATCATACATATGAGAGAAAAAAGAACTTAAATAGTTACACTTGTGCTAGTATTATGATAGCTATGGAGATATTTTGTTTGAATTAAAAACTTTTTTAGTGTTGACATAATGTAAATTTTGTCCCAGTTTTTGGTGTGTGTGTGTGTGTGTGTGTGTATTGCTTGTCATTAGCCATTGTATAGATGCTGCATTATTTGTTTGCTTTGTGTTTGGTACATACATCAATGCCCTCATGACTGCTCACAATAGAGCATTGTCTAATAATGCTCATGACCATACAGCATGCATGAACTTGATAGTATGATTGTTTACATAACATACATGTACAGTATAAGCAGTTATAACTGCATATGCTCAATAGAACATTGTCAATCAATGCTCATGGTAACACGTACCCTCTCATTTCATATAACCATTAACCTATGATGACACTGATGTATTGAGGACCATTTTGTTGTGTAATGGGGCCTCTGATCAAGTGAGATTATTGCTACCACGATAGTATCATTATTATTACCATTATTATTATTATTATTATTATTATTATTATTATTATCATTATTATTACCATTATTATTATTATTATTATTATTATTATTATTATTATTGTGGGTGTGTGGCAAACCTCTTCTATTACAATTATTGCCAAATCACAAAAAGGGGAAACTATGTTTCCAGACTTGACTCCACCCACAAACTGCAAAAGTTTGAAGAGACACTTGGGTGACTTGGCCCTGCCCTTTAAAAAGAGTGCATGTTGCGTAGTTAATGGCAACTATGTCTCAAAATGGCCAACTACCAACACTAACAGAAGAAAATGAGAATTAGTGGACTTGTGGACTTCATAACTTATAATGACTAGCAGTGGTTATTAGTATTAATCAAGAGTGGATTTTTAAATGTATTATATTCATAAAAAAGCACGTTTGTTGCTAATACCATATACCAGTTTATTTTCACAGTAAAATAATTATTTTTTGCAAATTTTGTGGTTTTTTTGCTCCTATGCAAAATTTTTCCACAATAAAATTCTGCATTTCCATTGGCACATGGTTCAGACTGCAAGCCATTCACAAAAATTAATCCCGCAAAATTTTAGAAATGTAAAATTCACGAAAATTTTATACTATGAAAATAAACCAGTGTACAGTAATTTCCACAAGTACTTGTAAAAACATGTGTACATGCATATATGCTTTGCTTGCTTAGGCTCGCCGCCTTAATCTTTAATATTTGTAGATAATAGGAAGGGAGCAACATTGTAAAAATGGCAAGACTAACTATAGAAAAGAAAAGACTAACTATAAAATATTAACTATTAAAATTATAAAAATTATGCTTGTAGTGTTAAAATAGTAGCAAAATTAAACAATTAATTGTTTGTATAATCAGAATCTTATGATTAGTTATAAAAACTACGGTACATTAAAAAAGAAAGTTTTGTGTAACAAAGACACAATTCCTACGTCTTTTTTATACCAAGTGAAGATCTAACATTACGCGCTATATCCCCATTTCCCATGTGATTGTCGAGGACATCAATCACTTCTCTCCATGTTGGAAAAGAAGTTTCCTTGTTCAGCCAGCATTGCAGTACCCTGTTAAGTTTTGGCTTAGGATCCCTTCCTGGCTGTTCAGCTAATTTACCCAATACGCTGGACGAGACACCGAGGAAACCACCAAGTATCTCCCAACGATATGCTATCTCTGAAAGGAGCTTGAATAATTTTTGAAACGTTGGTTTGCTGTCTATAATAATGCATTAAATTTAATTGAAACCAAATCATATCATTACCTTCAATAGACGATGCTAATGTCTTGCTCAGGATTTTATCAAGTTTTGCTCTTTCACTGTCAGTTTGTCCAGCGGATAGATTAGCATATAATTTATAATCTTCATCTTCATCATCATCATCATCATC